CCCAGAAGTGAAATCAAAAGCACTGCGAACCCACCTGAGTAACCTCAGCTGCAGCCGCCCCTTTCATGGCATCGGAAGTAGAGGGTGAAGTTGCCTTCTTTCTGTCCGTGCTTCGGGTGGGGGAAGGCTTGTAGGGAGATTTAAGAGGACTAGCTGGTGCTACACGAGGACAGATATGGAATACTAAAGAGTTATAGTACAATAGCAAGAGCAAAAGGGAGCACAGACAGAGGAAGTGAAGGAGAGAACAGCATACTTTTATGTTATAATGTTCAAAGGTAGTTTCCAAGTTGGTTTTTTTAGTGTTTCAACAGTTCACATTATATAACACATTCAACATGGGCCCATGTTCACTAAAAACACCTCAACTGAAAGTAACATTTTATGGGACTTTTTTTTTTCCTAAAAAAATCTCTATCTCTAAATGTTGCTCTTACTCATATACCTTTTGAATCACCTGACTATTACTCTGATTCTTTTCTTTTCTGAAAATTCCAGCTTCCTTTGCATATGCTAAAAAGCGTAACCAAACAATTCTAGTCATGTGGCTTTTGAACAAATACTACAAAACAGGAAAGCTCACAGAAGCATAGGGAAAAAATTTTTTTTGAAGCCTAAACATGGCAAAGGCTCCTAAATACTTTAACTGCTTTTCAAAGTAACACTTAAAGAAAGAAACAAACAATGCCAAACCTAAACTAAATGCTGCTGTAGGCATTTCAGTTACTGTTATTTCGGGTAGATATCAGTTTGAATGTGATGCACGCATTACAGCTTACAGAGCAACTCTTTATGAGTATTTTTTCTTTATTTACAGTATGAACAGGATTTTTTTTTTTTAAATGGGGTATTTTACCCCTGTTTTTGTTCATATTACTTTCTAAGATGAAACTTTCACTTACATATAGAACAATCAACAGACTATATGCTTTACTAATAAAAGACAGACACCGTAACCATGTGACAGTGCGTTTCCAATCTTATTCAACTAAAGTCAAGAAGGCTATGGACTTTGGAAAAGCAGTAATTACAGTCAAATGTAAAAGAATTCACATTTCCAATATTTTTTTTTATTGGGCGCAGTCCTACAAGATTTCTTATGAAGCCTTTTTGTATGCTTCTAAGTTTAACTGGACCTGTGTATTCTTTGATTGCCTTTCCACCAAGTTGGCAAAAGTTCACTGAATATTAAGAAAAATGTTCAGAAACTTAAATGCTGCTTAAGGTAAGTATTTATACTTCAACCGTGGAAAAAAAAAAATATAATTACGTGTCCCAAATAACAACTGTTTGCCTGAATATCTTGACTCAGAGTGACATTAATAATGCATTGCTCTAGAGAAAGAGTCTTAAGTCAAGGTTCCTCATTTCTAAGCTTATAGAAAATGCAGGAGCAGAGCAATTTTGACCCAAACATAATGACACGAGGCACCGTATGAGCCCTTGAAAAGGAAGAACCCTCTTCCCTGGTCAGGAAGCTACTTCTATGGAGAGAAGTACACAACAAACAGGACATCTCCCTCAACCCTTTCACTGGCAATACTGTCAAAACCATCGATGGCCACTCTGAGTATTGATGCTGTTTTGCAACCCGTGCTACAGCCTGATTGCCTTGTGAGGAAATGACAAGAGGACACTGGTTCAGAGAGCTGTTCCCAGAACCAGCACTCCTGTTTCAGCTCCGGGAAAAAAGCAGTTTGAAGGCCAAATTGTATCCTTATCAGACATGCCAGCGTGCTACTTTAAAGATCCTGTGATTAAGAGAGAGATAAAGCTAGGAGTTTACAAACAAACAAGTGGGGAAGGACAAAGGAAGTCCCTATTGATTCCTTCAATATCAAATACAACATGGAAAACAACATCTGTAGGTGGCCCCAGGAACACATCTCAAAATTTTAAGCAGAATATACTGATCTAATTTCAAGTTGGCCTTTGTTCAGTCTTAGCAGTAGCTGATCCCTCCGTAAGTAAACTGGGAATTTTCTCATGGGCAGAGTACTACATGACAACATTTCTGCTTCCAACAGATGCCAGTTTTAACGTAGAAACAAGGGAAGTAATTTTAGAGCCATCCAGTATCAATGTCCCTACGCACTGCAACAAAGTAGTAGCGCACAAAGGAAAGCAGGCTTACTTTGCAATTCATTTTGAAATAGCTTTGTATTAAAAGCACAGATGCAGGACCTGAGCATATTTCAACCACAGTATATGAAAATACTCATCATAAAGATGATCGGTCTTTTACCGTCTAACTAGTTTCACCCTAAAAAAATAGGTTTCCTTTTGCAGACAGGCATTTGGGTGTGGGGTTTGGGTATTTTTTGTTTTTAATAAAAGTAGAAACAGCTGTTAAACCTTTGTCCTTGTTTCAGCAAATGCTATGACCAAGTATAGCTTTATAAATAGAAACTACTATGGAAGCCATGCACATGACTAAGTATTAGCAGGACTGGAAACACTAGTTTTGTAGATGTTTGCAAAATAAATGGTTTTTTAGACTGCCATTTACAGATAGGAACAGTAACTATTATCCCTAATTATTAGTTTCTTAAAGATCAATATTTTCTGGAGCACCTTCCTATTAGAGTGTCTGTTTTTTCCTTTAAGTATGTATAATTTTATATTTGTATATACATAGACCCACACACATACATAAAAATACATAGTCACACAAAATAGTCACACAGTTAAAGGCAAAAAGTAATTTAATGGCAAAGAACCAGAACCCTAATAAAATAATTAAGGCTCAAATGGAGCACTGGGATTTTTGTTCTACTTACTACTTGGGTATCAAAAGGGATTACATTAATATATCAAATAAAGCCTCTGAAAGGTGTCACACACTGGTCTAAAAAACTGTTTCTTAAATTAATATATTCAATTATTCATTGGCTTAGGCTTTAGTGATCTCATTAATTCAATTTCTGTTGTTTTGGTTTTTTTTTTTTTTTTAATACTATGTTCTTTTAAAAAAAACATTCAGAACAAGACAGACAAGATGACGTGGTTTTTCAAGCTTTTAAATATACTTTATCATGAACTCAGCTCATCATTGATTTTGTACTATCGTAAACTGTAAATCTGGTTCATAGTACTCTGTTTCTTTCGGCAACTACCCAAATGCAACCAAAACCATACCTCAGCAGTTTTAAAGTGAGTCACGCACAATTTTACCTGGATTATTGTACTGCTCAGAAAGCATTAATGTACTTCTGCTTCTGGCTAAAGATGACTGTGTGGGAGTCAGCAGTCGAGAAACAATAAAGTTTTCCATTGGACTAAGATGCATGCGGTGAGCTGAAGGATGGGAGCAAATAAAATCAAATTTAAAATGCAAAGAAATAAAACAATGTTACATTAAAATAACTAAAACAAAATGATGAAATGATTAAATGAAATAAAAAAATCTTGACATGGTTGAGAATTAAAATATTTAAAGATAATTTCCATTCCCTCTAAGAAAAAAGGTTCCAGTTTCTCCGTAATTTTAAATTATTTTCCCACCTGTACAATAAATGTAGCAGGGTTAAGACCATGTTGCTTTTTGTTCTTACACAGAGACATGTTCCATTCTGCAAAATGGTTGCTTTCATGACTCAGCATGAAAAAGGTTTGTCTTCTTCCCCAGTAGAAAAGGCGAAACATTTGGTGTAACAGCACAGCCACGCACTAACGTGCCATGCTGGGACTGTGTCTAAAATTTGCAGTCTCATTGCATTATATAAGTCTTATTTATACAATATGCCTGCATTCATCCTACTCCATAAACACAAGCATCAACCATAAGACAGATATTTATAGATGTTCCAATTACATGCATATATATATATCTCCACCTATCATAATAACCTCAAAGCCAATGATGAGTTTTCATTAAACAATTCAGAAATGAAAGTAAATTTACCTTCTCTTTTCATTCTAGAAACAAGCCTTCATTGTCACTTATTGCAGTCAATATATTTTTTTCTCATTAGAGTTTAAAAAAAAAAAAGGGGGGGGGGAAGACAACACACAAACCAACCAAAAAAATCCAGAGTTCACAGTGGGATAAACCCTCCAGTCCTCTCTGTAATGTTTAGTAATCACTAATCCCACAAGATGATCATCTTTTGCTGATCCTCTCATGGATCTGAGTTTCAAATCAAATTAAAGGGCTCTACAACTCTAGTCACCGGATTGAAGTCTCCCAGGTGGCTCATCAGACATACTTCTGCCCACAGTACACCCCATGTCTATTGCTGAGCCACATGTCTGGTTTGCTTGTTTTTCGTTATTTGGCTAGAAGATCACAAGCTGTATGGGTACAGGAGCAGCACCAAAAATTGAAAAAATACCAGTAAAAAAAAACCACCCACAGCATTTGTTGCTGGACTAGGATCTCTAGCACAGCAGCATGTCTTGGGATGGGCTGCAGAACTATTTTATTGTATTAACCTGCAACCCCTCAAATGTTTGAGTTCTTTTGAATAATAAGACATAAGCAAGCTACATAGCTATATGGACAAGAAGAAGTGCTCTAAGCAGAAGGAGAGTTTATGCTGGTAGGAGACCAGCATATTCACTTGCCTCTGTCGGGGGAATGTGTTATTGCCGCTGTGGAGGAGGAGAGGCGCTTACTGATTGGCGATTCCGTTTGCTTTGGCAGATTCATTGTAGAGGCTGAAAGTTTGTCACATGCTGCAGAGAGACGCATTGAAGATATTTGTATTCACATCACAGTGTTGATAAACTCCCAAAATTAACCTCGCATTTGTACTCATGGCCCTTGCCACTGATCATAGCACTGAACACGGCATGAGATAAGCTCTTTCCGACTGCTGGGGGACCAGCATTTTATAAGACATGCTTTGGGATGCAACTTTTCTGCTTGTGAATTTAACATTCCAGTTTTATGACAGCCTATCTTTTATATTGCCACAGGTAAATAATTACGTATCAGGTCTGAATGAGTGAAGCCATTTTGATAGAAGACGTTCAATATCAGCACAAGCAGAAAATTACCTAAAGAAAAGGAACTGCACACATGACAACTCTTAACTCCTTATCTCCATTCCCCCCTCCCCTCTACTTTCAGTCTGGAAGAGCCGAGGTAGACCTCTGTATTATTCTAACACAAAAATGAAATAACGACCATTTATGCATTCGCACAATGAGAACTCACTGTTTTAACAACTGATTTGGCACCAGCCATTTGGTTTTATCTTTTCGTGCTTGAGAATATTTAAAAAAAAAAAAAAAAAAAAAGGCAGCAGCTTTTTTTGGTATTACCTCAAGTACCAAAAGTACTCCGCTTTCTTGGTACTACCTCAAGTGCTTTCACTTTTCTTCTGAAATAGTTTGATGAAGTCTGTTTGAGCACAAAGCCTATTTCCTGCCTTGCCATTTATTCAACTGAATGACAGAAAAATGTTATTCAAGTATTACTACAGCATACTAGCATATGATCACTGCATCATGCTCAGAAGCTAGAAGCACAGATGCCTCATCCTTTAAATTTTATTTCTTTCAAAACAGAAAATATTTTCAGCTAGACACATAGACGTGGACCTAATTCTACAGCCCCTAGGTTACTGCATTCCCTATTACATCCATCGAAATGTGGCCTCAGTTGGGTCTGCAAGATTTGCCTCCATGTACTACAGTAAATAATACAATTCTCTACATTTGCTTTTTTAAAAAAGCAGGTACAATGCTGGTATGCTGCAAAACATCAGTTGTACATCCAAATCCCTTTGTACATGAGCAACTCTTAGTGCAAAAATCTGAATCTGTCTAGACAGAAATAATAGTTCTGCGAGATCGTGGGCAGCACAACATTTACTGGGGATTCTGCAGAAGTAATATCCAAGCCTAGCTCCTCCTTTGTGGGGAGAGAAGGAACCTAGTTCTTAAAAGCATAGGCTGCGTTACATTTTCAAAATGCCAAGTACGTTGCAATCAACATGAGAAATCCTATATACAATCCATTCTTAATTTTGGAGAACTCATCTACTTCACAGACCTTTTACAGGAATAATAATTTAAAAGACAAAAGATAACTGAACAACATAAAAGAAAACAAAACATGATTGCCTAAACAAAGTCAACTACTTGAGTTTGTTACAAATACCAAAATCCACTTCAGGAGGCTTCTGAAAACATAGCATGGCTCTTTAGACTAAATTCACTTTTCTTAAAATATTGCAGAAAAACGCCCTTGAGACGGAAAAAAAAAAAAGAGGGCTGTTTTGATGAAACATGGTCTCCATAACCCATTTTCTCTTACTGTGCAACTGAGAGTTTTTTCAACAGCATCTGCACCTATGCATGTCCAACATAATCATCAGATACAAGCGTAATTGTATTTACACACACACAAACACAGAGCATCCGCAGAATTAACAGAGATGAGAATCTGAGCGGTAGAAGTCTACAGTTAGCGAGAAAACTATGAAATGCCTCTACTGTGCTGGAATGCGAGGCATGCACTGCTCCATCATGGCAAAATTAAAAGGAAATTAAAAAGACAATTTGGTCCACATCGCTAAGGGTAATGCTGTAGAGCACCAGACTGAAATAATAAGAAAACAGTGGTTAGGAAGGACAAGATCAGTGGGTGGATTACAGTGATTAGAACAGTTATAAACGAGACACGATGGTACTGTGATTCTCTGAAATACCATTGAAGGAATCAGCAGGAGCAGTAGAGGTCACAGGGTCTGGAGGAAGGGTGTTGGCAGCTAAACCTAGAACAGGGGGTGGGGTATTTTCTGATTCACCTACACAGCAGAGAAATCAGAGCAAAAAGAGGTGAAAGAAATTACTGAGTAAGTTGGGGGAGCTGGAATTAAGCACAAACTGCATCACAAAGATAAACTGGTTTCTTCGCAAAGTATAAAAGACTTCTTTTATTATCATATATATATTTACTTTCCTGGCTTTTTTGATGGCATACCATGAAAATTATGAAACAGAGTTTGCCTTTTTAGAGTTAAGTATATTTATACACTGTTTAAAAGAGAGTAAATGTCATTTTTCATCCTTGCCCAAACTGGGTATTTTTCCCCATAACATCAGCTTATTCAAACCTGACAAATTTAAATAAATTATATGATTCAAAACAGAAAACAAGCATCTTTTTGAAATATAAAAGCAGTACATGACTGATTATGTAATAAAAATAATTCGTTCTAAAGCCAAATCAAAAAGAGCAGCAACAAAAAGTATGCAGGGAAAAAACCCTAACTATTTTAAACTACACATGCCGCATAGTCACCTAGAAATTCCCATCAGGTTTTTAGAACTACCAAACAAAAACAGATCATCTTTTGCAAGGCTTAGACAGCACTCAGTCCTTTGGTGAATACTAAATTTGCTAACTGTGTGTGTGGGAAGACAATGCGGAGGAAGAGAATAAGGAAGAGAGCACATATTTTATTTTTAGCATCCTCCAAACAGATTGTGGTTACTTTTTTAAAATGATCTGCATTCCTCAAGTTAGGAGTGATCTTTCTCCCCAGAAGGTATTAGAGAGAGGAAGCCTGGTAAGCAACTACAAAGCATTTATTCACGCCCCAAGGCAGTAGCCCCTACAGTACCACCCTAACTATAAAATGCATCATCCTTACTATCTCCACAACCTCATGCATTTTGCACTCCAAGATCTGCAATGCAGGCAGCCTGTTTCACTTACCGTCTCTCCCTCCTGAGCCTGCAGCCAGTGCTCCTCCCCACGACCATCGCTTCTGCTTCTGTTCCAGCTGCTGGCTGCGTTCAAGGGACCGACGCATCATGGCTTCTAAACGTTCCTGGTTATATTGGTACAAAACCAGAGAATAAATCTTAATCAGTTCTTTGGGGGCTTTTTTTTTTCTTCCCCACCTTCTTCTGAAACCATGCTAAAAATACACAGTTCCCCTGTTGCTCCACACAAGATGATTACAGGAGCTTGTCTGCAATAAAAGAGAAAGGACTGAATAAAGAAGGTATCAGCATGCTACCTACCTCCAGATACGTGTATCCTTTGTCTGCAAGCCACTGAGGTCACTACAGAGGCCTAAGTAAATAACACAGGTTGCATCACTGCCTAGCATCTGCTCCTGCTGGTGAGGCTGCTGCTGTGCTCTGGACTTAATTTGTATAAGAATAATGCTCGACAAGCATTAACTCCTTCTTGTCTATGCAGACCTCAGGATTTTTTTCCACCCCTTTCTGAGTACAGCTAAATTGCTGCAATGCCAGTGGCTCCTCCTAGCCACGCAGATAAATGATCACTTCAAACCCAAAGTAGGTTACTTTGCAAGATGCCTTATTTATTTATTTTTCAAAAAAAGCTCCCTCCTTTCTTCCACTATGTTCTTTACAGCCTAGGCATTTAAAAGCTTCTGATTATTTTTCCTCTGTGTATTTTTTTTTTAGTGTATGGCCAGATCGTGCTGTTCTGAGATTTACTTTTTTTTCCTCCACCCCCACATTTTTTCTCCACGGCTTGATGAGTTAGGATTTTCAGATGGGGAACAAGAAGGAGGTTTCTCTCCCTACTCAAATCCTGCCCTACCTTTAACGTACAGCTACTCCCTCAACACCACCTCCTAACTCTCACTCAAAGACCTCCACTCAGTTTTGTTCCCACTTCCCTCTGCTAGTTTCTCAGTGGTTTATTGTCATTGCAATGATCTCTGCACCTTTTCTTTTCCTTCTTTTAAGTAGATAAAAACCTGGTTCTTCCCCATCCACTGTTCCATCACCTACCACCCTCTTCCTCATTCACATCTGGCAGCTTCTTCACCCTCACATTTCAGCAGCCCAATCCTTACCATGAAAGATGAGTCTACTCTTGCTGCCTTCAACTCCTGCCCCAACAGTTTTTACACCCTTGATCCTACTAGTATTTTTCATCCTAATACTGACTACCTTTGCTATGTCCTTTTGGCCTAGTGTAAGACTCTTATTCTATCCACTTCAAACTCTTGATCCTACAGGCTTCTGGGATTACATCATACCCCCTTCAATTTCTATCAATCCCCTGCTCTGTCTCCAATATCTTTTGGTAGCTGAGATCAAGTGTGCGGAAAACCTCTCCTGCACCTCTTGCCCAGATTACTTTCCCTCACCGATTCCCAGGTTTCCCATTCCCCTTCCCAGATATATTTTACAACAAAATTTCAGTCTTTATTCAAGGATGCCTCCTTCAGTCTCTACACTGATGTTGAGTCCGTCATCTCTGATGGAGATCCTTCAGCAGATCAGACCCCAACATCAGGCACCTCCAGTAATACCACGCCTGGAATTTTTATGCATGTACCTGTACACTTTGTGTTACCTTCCCGGGGCTCTGTATGGTCACTAGCTTTCTACAATGCCAGATGCCTTCTCATCATCTTCTGGTTATCTGCAATATACTTTTGTCTCTTCCACATCTTTGAAGAATCTCTTCTACTACTATGACTTTCAGTAATTTATTTCTCACCTCATTTTTTCCACCTCGTCCAACCCTGCTACCAACTATCCATCAATTTCAACAGCAAGCCACTACCTTTGTCTTTAAGCTCTCTTCTCTTATCACAAATCACTTTACCATAAAGAATTCCATTATATTACCCTCTACACAAAGAGTGAAAAAAGGCAATTCCCACATTTCCTTTTCATCATTCTCAGTGCTCCTGTCCCTGCTACCTTTCAGCCAGGTGACCCACCCTGCTGTTATAATTTCTGCTGCCATCTCCAGGAGGATGATCTTCCCATCATGTGTTTTGAGCTTCCACTTCAGTTTTGTCTCCTTTCTACGTCTTTAGCTCACAGTCTATCAGGCCACATCATGCAAAGACCACTGAAAGCAGGCAGCTGCTTCCCCACCCTCCCTCCCCTCCTTTTTCTCCCTTCTGTCTAGCCAGTGCCATCAGTGTCCAGGCAGGCACGCAAATGCTCTCTCTGCCTCTTTCCTCCTCCTTTTTCTCCCTACAGACCAAATGCATGAAGCATCACAAAGCTCAAGCACAGGCTCTTCTGCAACAGCACAGAAAAACCCCCCAGTTCTGAATACCCTATCACTTCTTGTCCCTACTTTGGGCGTGAAAAGAAAGCAATCTTCCAATCTCTGGAATACAAAGTCACTCTCCTCTGATTTAGTTTGCTACAGTCTTTCTTTCTTCCTTGCTCCTTGATGATGCAATTTTTACTTTAAAACCTGGTGTGCTGGCTTTGAATTTCAAGCTCACACTTTTTGCTTTTAACTTCCCACCTCCCAACGTTTATTTAATTCTGTTTGAGTCACTTTTCTGTACTTACTCTTTCCAAACCTCAGCTCTTATTTCATCACCAGTTCTTCTCTGCAGTCTGTTTCTTTTCATTACTTTCTTCTACTATGCATCTTGCCCCAATATCCCTTTCTACCTGCACGCTTCACAAAGGAAAGTCACGCTCCTATTTCTTTCTCAGTAAAGCATACACTTACACAGAATCTTTCTTTCTTTCTTTTCATATCTAATGAATATTGTTACACATTTATCAAAAAAGATAAGATGAAAGCAGCCAAGTTTCAATTATCCAGGTGATTTATTTTTGGTTTGTGTTTTGTTTTTTTTTGTTTTTTTTTTTTTTAATGCTGCCTGAAGCAGGGATCAGCAATATTCTAGTTTGCACACCACAGAATACACTTACACCACCCATTATGAAAGCCCTATTTTAAGAATAAAATGCATGATGAAATAGACTAAAGAAATTAAGTGATTTTTCATACATATTTGAAAGCCCACACTACCTACAATCTGAGGTTGAAATTTTCAATTACTTGACGTGGAGAGGTTCATCCATTTTCATTTGTGAAGAGCCTTTTCATTACAGCACTATAGAACATAATTATTAAACCTCATCAAACCCTGCAGATATAGCTTAGATAAAGAACAATGCAAAGGCCTTTTTTGACAAAGAAAGGATAGTTATTTTAAAAACATTTTAAGTTAGCACAAAACTAAAAAGCCAAAGAAAACAATAAGACATATGGAAGCATAGCATAAACAACTCATACATGAACAGTTTGGTCTGTGACAAAAACCAAACAAGACAAAACATTCCTTCATCAGTTAACAATGCACAAAACCCTTCCTGTCTATGTTAAAGATGAAGTACCTTCTTAAAAACACATACCAAACTATCCATGTGATCCTCATTTGAAAACTCTAACAGCTATAAATAGAGTAAATAATCTCTGCATTAAAGATATAGTGGGCTTCCACAAAAAAAAAACAAAAACAAAAACAAAGTACAAGCTTTGCATGGAGGCTGAATTAAGAAAACGTAAAACCATAAAAAGAGAGCCATCTACTGCTAGTATCTAAAATATACATGTTACTTTCCAAAATCCATAGTTACTAATCCAGATTTTCCTCAGACTAAGCACCAGAACAAATGTTTGCATTGTCCAAATTAAAAACCAAACAAACAAAACCAAACAAACGCAAAACCCAATAGTGAAAATACAAGTAATTTGACTGAGGTACTTTCATTTTCTCTATGTAAAACATGACACAGATGTGAAAACAAGGAAAAAATTCATTTGACAAGTATTATGACTTAAAATAATTTGTGCAAACGATTCTAAAACAACCTTATACCTACAATACAAACATCTAAAAGAGCCCCAAAAACCTCTTTCTTTTCACTTGACATATTCATCAGCACTGTATGTAAGTAGCTCACTGTCTCCTGATATTATCAGTCAGCTTCATCTTTTGAGTGGCTCTTCCACGTAGCAACAAGAGAGCTCTGTTATCTTCCATTTAAAAAAAACATTAAAAAGCAATAAGGTATTCTCAAATTTAACTACCCTTCTCAATAGAACTCATTTCTACTCTCGACCAATTGCAATTACGGGTGTGTATTAATGGTGTTGTGTGCATCAAGAACAACCCAGAACAAGTGAAGGCTACGCTTTAAAGTATGTGGAGAGCCGCAGCAGCAAGTAATGGCAGGGGGGACCAGAGGACGGTCAGCATTGTAATGAGGAGGTACATATGCTTATGTCTACCACACAGCATACTGTTATGCAAGCAGCCTCTCAAGCTCAAACAGTTTGCAGCAAAATTTTTCTACTACCCATGCAACTGAATTCCACTCAGTACATGAATTGCCAAAATATGTCTGGAAAGCAGTTCCAATTATTTCCATACGTTATAATTCAAAAAGTAATTAACTTTGAATTATAATATAGTAAGTAATTAACGCTATAACATCTTGAGAGTTTTTCAGCCTCTTGTGTTTAAGTGCATACTTTTCACAAATGTAACAAATAGTGCATGTGCTCCAAAACAATCTCTCCAATTCTGCAGGATATTGTTTACCATTTAGCAGTTGTGACATCCATCTTTCAAATCTGAGTGCTGGATGAGATTTGATGCTGTCTACCAGTAGCAGTTCATGTAAACGTTAGTATGTCGGTAGGATCAATACCAATTTTATCAATTTCCTTAAAAAAAAATCTGATTGTTTTATTAAAAAATTAATCTTTGACTCGACAGATGTTATTGCTCTTATTCGCACTAGTGTATTTGACATGGCCTGTACAAGTGATGCTTGTATTGTCTTACAGAACACAGGAACAGAAGAACACAGCTTCTACAGAGACTTTCCCAATACCCTGTAAATGTAACTAGACATTTTTTTGCAAGGTATTTCAAAGTCACATGGAAATTCAAGATAGGGAAAAAATTATTTTAACTGAATGAGGACTAGCTTTATTTTTATCTAGTCCCAAGGCCACTGACTACTTACTGTTAAAAGCAACTCTTCTGTTAAACAACACCACGCTTCTTTCCTCAAAGTTCAGTGATTGCTTTTACTGAAGGAAGTTGGCAGCTTTAAAAGTAACATGGAGGTAAAAGCAGTGCTACTGAAGACCTCTACAGATAAGAAAGGTGCAGTCAGTGCAGACAGAACGATTTTCAGACATTTTTATTCAGTCCCTGCCTGAGGCATTGGACACACTTCCACTGTACTCTGCAACAAGCTCCAGCTGCCCCAGAGGAGAAGTCTGCCAGAACACCTCCATTCCCATCAATACAGACTTTAAAACCTCCATCTCTTATCTAGGACTGCAGAAAGGAAAAAGTAAGCAAATAAATCAAATTTTAGCCACCTCCTCCTTGAGAATTCCTTTGCATGCAAAACAGCTAAGCAGAGGATGCTCAGATGTAGGAAGCCAACAAGCCCCACAGTTTGAGCCATTCATCTCTAAAACTCTTACAGATGCAATGTTTTCTAGAGACATTTATCTAACCTGTTCCTATCACAAATACGCACTGCCTTCTGCTTAATTAAAAAGCAAGGAAAACTGACTTAGGGAAAATAAAAACTATGATGAGTAATGCAGAGAGCAAGGAAGAAAAATCTTTCTACTTGGCACTTCAGACATCTGACGAGCAGGTAAATTGGGTGCTCCAGTCCCCACCCACCACCAACTGGTGTTAAAAGGAGAAACACTGAGGATGTGCTGGCAGTATACTGGCTCACTGGCAAGGGCACCCCAAACACATGTGTGGGCAATATGGACTCAAAGCTCTTCCAGTAAAGGCAGCCTCAAATGTCCAGAATGACTCAAAGCAGTGAGTAACTTGCAATGGCCAGGGAGCTGCAACTTCATCACCATCCTTACTCAGACCTCCACCACTACTACTACACATATGTAGTTTGAGGGGCTCATCAGAAGAGCTCAGGGGTGGAGGGTGGAATTTGGCAGATCCTTTAGCAGAATTCAAGTGGTATTTGAGAAATGAGGGAATGACAAGTAACCATGAGGGGAAGCCAGGAGGTGGTGGTGTCCCCTTTTCCCAATTTCCTTCCTCCCTCATCCTCCCCTGTTCTACAGATCATTCCCCTTTGCACCCTCCCCTCCATCAGAGGCTCCTGGATTTTTCTTCCCATCAGCTCTCATCCATCGCCACACAAGCATCCTCCCCTGTCTGCTGCCCACGCAGCCTTCCCTCAGATTCCTCAACCTGGGGGGAGGGGGAGGGAGGAAAGGAAAGGGAAGGGAGCCAGGCCTGGGCCTGTCTTGGCTCTCAAAAGGATTTGGACAGTTCAAGCTTGAAGGACCACCTCAGCGAGCAGAGCTAGAAGTGGTATTCATATTATGACCAAACACTTGGAGGCAGCAAGCCTTTCTTTCACCCCTAGATAAGTCTTCCATCACGTGTATGGGGTACTGGGGAGCCTTGCTGATACACGGAAGAAACATCACTGTGTGTTCAGTCTCTTCTTATGTCCACCTCTGGGCAAGTGCAGGAGGCCTTTACAGGAGACAGGGCTCCCACTGAACAAAACTCCCTTTGGGTCTGACCTGGCACAGCCTCTCTTATGTCTGACAAACCTGCTCCGATTTCTCCAGCACACACCAACCATGCAGGCAGGGAAAGCAGGCAGTTGCTCGCTCTTGCCACACCTCTCGCCCTACCCGCACTCCCTCTGGTGCAAATTTTGATGACAGGGTTTTGGAACATTTTGTACTTAGCACTTTCCCTTACAACCCCCATAAAGGGATCAAGTTTGCTTAGCTACAAAAGGTTATTACTGGCAATACTAATTTACTAGCAGGAAATACTGGCAAAGGAACATGTCAGGTCAGTGATGTTACCGCAGAAGGAGAGATATCTCCTACGCTTTGTTCCTGGTTTTGCCATTTTTCTTAGTAAAATTTGAAACCACACGACAAAATATTTTACAAGGAATTCTCAGCTATTGTGCAGAAGCCACAATCAGTATGTTACAGCTGAGAGAGGAATGACAAGATATAATCTTCTCTTCAGGTTAAAGTGAAAAATCAAACAAGAAAATTTTAAATGGACAGCAGTATGTTATTCTGATCCCATGCAGAAGTGTTTTACCTCTTTTGCAAAGGATATTTTGATCAAAAAGGGGGGGGGGGGGCGGGCCAGAAAAAAAAAAGGAAGGTTAATGACTGCAGATTTCTAGAGCCTTTTTATCTAGGAACTAGGGAAATTTGTTTTACACTTTTTTTTTTTCTTTTCTTTAAAAACCACTGCCCCCTTTTCCAAAAATCATTAATTCTTTATCAGTTGCAGTAGCAGTGTTAGTGTTTCCTACAGGATGTCATGCGGAGAGACACACACACACTGCATTCAGAGATCTGCATCAGAAATTGGACTCACTAGAGCAAAAAAACCTTAATGATCTAAAACAGGAAGAGTAAAAGAGAGGAAGGGTATGAAGATACTTCAAAAGATACGTGATCAATTCTGTTCTGTGCTAGAATTTTAAGCCAGCCTACATTCTTCACTGCTTTAAGAAAGAATTTCTGGTTTACATTACCGAGGAAAAAGAAAACATTTTCATAAACATCAGTTCAGTTTCATGGACAGTAAACAAAACAGTAAGAAAAATCTTGCCATTTTATGGGAACACTCATCTTTAAAAGCTACCTTCTGGAAAGCTGATGTTTTATCGTTTGACAGTCAAGAGTCCCAGATATGTAAGCATAAGTAGATGACTGATACATGAGATCAGACAAAAATCAAGAGACAAAAAAGCTTTGGAAAATGTTTTTGATGTACAAGAGTAGTAGAGTATATATGGCTGTGGTGACGTGTGGGTGCAGTTCCCAAAGTTATGGCCACATGGCTCTGGGCCAAAAGAAATCAATGTTTAATGCATGTCAATATTCAGCTATATTTAGTTCTACCATACAGAGTTGCTCTGCCATATGTCTCCCAGTGGACCTTACCTCCTCCTCTTTAAGCTTTTGTCTCCGTTTTTCTTCAACAGCTGCCCTCTTCTGCTCCTCTCTCTGCCTCTGTTCCTCCAGTCTTCTCCATCTCTCCTCCATTTGCTTTTCATACTGAAGTTTCGCTCTTCTCTCCTTCTCCAGTATCTGCTGTTCCCTAGCAGCTTAGACAGAGAAAAGGGTGCATTTCACTCTATGCAAATTTTCTCCTACTTCAAAATTATTTGGTAACACGACATAATACAGTAAAACAACAAATACAAGTACACAGGATTTTAGTCCACTAAGATAGAATAGTGCACAAAAGTGCTGGAATGATTAGTAAGCCTAAGTGATTTGCTCAATAAACAAACAGGGAAGTCCTTTGTATACAAGGTGAAAGTCTGTGCCCCTTACCTGTGTGTAAACAGCATACAGAACAGTTAACAACTCTTCTTTTGCTTATGTTTCAAGTCCCTTTGTAGCTTAAAGTCAAATTCTTTTTTCAGTCATAATAAGTGTTCCCACTAGGTTCTAAAGTGAATCAGTTACACATGTTGAAGCAAAAGCCCTTGGAATATCTTTAAAACTGTGCTTCTCATTATGGGGTTGCCTTCAAAATAAATACATGAAGACAACATATGCTATATTTTCTAAGAAACTTTGAAAATACACTGTTCTGTTCATAATTTGGTGCTACATTGTTATCCACTTCTGCCTCTTTGTGTGAAAAAAAGAAGCTACTTCTGTTATTGAAGGTTTGCCCAGTTGTTTGTTACAGAAATTCAGACTGCAACATTACATACAGGGCTGTTGCTTCAGGTTTACATAGGAAAACATGCAGCAAAAGTTAATGTGACAAATCATGAGGAAAAATCCACTTCTCATGCAAGTGTATTCCTTAAAAAGGCAGGAAGAGGAGTTCAGTAAGCATGCCCCCACACACGCAGCCCTGTAATGTCACATACCAACACACATACAGCCGATATCAAAGAAGGAATATTCTCACAGTTGCCAGGCTAAGAACTTGAAAGTTAGGGAGAGCCAGAATTAACACTGTTTATACAAGAGCTAGTCCTTCATCCTGCTCACTATTCAGCTTCAGTCTGCTTTTTCAGTTCCTGTTTCCTTGTACAGCAAATTTTCACCCTTCTCTCTCCCAGTATCTTCCCATCACTCCTAAGTTCTTGACCAGCCATCTCAATCCGCTCTTCTCAGATCAGCCTTTTTCCCTCAGCTCCTGCCCCCAGGCTCTTTAACTACAGCCATGACCTTCAGTCCCTTTTAGCCCCACTCCACCCTCAAGCCCTCTGGTTTAAAGCCAGACTCCCTCCAACACCAGTTCCTTTCCCAAGAGTTGCATTTCTTTCTCTTGAATACTGTATACTCCTAAAACACTTCCTTCCTTACATCCAACCTGCCTTACAGAACACCTTCTACTTTATGCTTGTTAGAAATACAGTTGATGTTGTCCTCCCCTTTTGCCTCATTAGAATTCACTATTCCTCTTCGCCCAGGACAGGGCAGTATGAGAGGGGTGTCAGTGCTGCAGGCGAGCCTGGGCTTGTATGCATGAAGAATCAGACTTGTCAACAGATAAAGACTTCACTCAGAGACAGCGGAAGACAAGTGGCCAGTTGGTAATTGTTAACAACTACTAGTCATGTCAGGTAGAGCAGCTGAAAATAGCATAGTTGATGAAAACCAAAAATAAAGTGAGGTGTCCAGAGACTGTGCTAAGATTATGGAGTAAGCGGGTGAATGAAACCTGGGAATGATTCTGGACAGAGAAGCAAATCATTCTGTCACCACGGTCATACATACAAGTCTTGTTCCTTAATTTAGGGATACTAAACCACTGATTAATGAGTTTTGGCTTTGGTGAAAAGGTTATTCCATATTGCTGCAAGGTACCTGCTGGCTGCACAAAGACCTGTCCTTCTGGGGAACTTGCTGCTTTTTTTCTGAACTTCTAAAAGAAATCTGCCACAGACAAACTGTGACCAAAACCCAGAGCTCCTGATTCTAGAAACGGGCTTAACCCTAAAAAAGTATGTTTCCAGAAGGCACGTATGATGTCTGGAGACAAGAACTGCAGCCAATGCCTTCCAAATTCCCTGGGCCAACCACTCCCAAATTCTCCAGCTTCCAGTTTCCCTCTCATCTCCTCTTCTGCTTTTTAAATCCAAGTCCTTTCCAATCTACTCATGTCACTTTCTCAGGAACCAGCAAAGAATGGATAATCGAGAGGACAGAAGAGATAGTCTGGACTGAGTATACCTGGAAGACATGTAAGCTACAACTCAGGCTGGTACATGCCCCATATAGACAGAACCTCCGGGTAGACTAAGTACTAAACACCAGCAGATTTTCACAGGAACTGCCAAAAGGAATCTTGCTCACCAAGCCCACGGTACTAAAAACTGTCACTGGTCTCAAGCCTCAGGTTTTGCAAGAAATGGTCAACACTTTGTTTATTTATTGCAAGAAAACCAGTATTTTTTTCTATGATTCTTTTCACAGATGTCCATACAGTTTTAGTTGACGTTTCCTCAAAATATACACCTACCTTAAATTTTACAAATCATAAAATGCTCACAATTCCTTCTCATAGGTATTGTCAGGTAACCTTAAGAAACAGTGCTACCGGCCTTTCTTGTTATTACAGTGAGGAAAAGTAGAGTTAACTCTTCAATATTTTTTATATCTATATTTATAGGTGTATATACAGAAAGTCCAAAACAATATTGAGCAATTAATTTAATTCACATATATATGAAACTAACTGTGTGTACACAGGACACCCCCCCCAAAAAAATATACATATATATTTATATTTTGCAATTTCCTCAACATTTCCTTGGAGGTATTAGTAGAGCAAAAACAACTGACTGTTTTAAAAACTCTGAAATCAATGCTTATGTTATTCAGGAAATGAATTAATTTTCCTCATTCTCTTGAAAAATTACCCATTTTAAAACTTACAGAAAGGTATCTGCTTTATGTCATCCTTAACTACTCCATGATATCTTTTAATATTGCTAAAACTTAATAGACTAAAATTGACGTTGTTCCACCAAATCATCCTACGTATTATCCTGAGTATTATTCAAGGCTTATTTGGTATCTTTATAAATCAGAATCCTAACACGTCACCATCTCGCACATAAACTTATATTCAAAAGTACATAAATAATAAAGTCAACTTGTAACTATAGAAGATTAAACACTCAAATGGAAATCAAAGAAGGCATAGATTAATTTATTTTTTATAATTTAATTTTAAAGTAGTAATATAAGCGATAAAGTCTAGAAACAGACTGAGCCACAACGTTTAAAATTCAGAACAGAAAAAATATCATGTTAGTAACTTAAGCCTATTAACATTTATACATAAATAACACATACACCTCCTGCCATCTTACCAAGGTATTTCTCCCTTTCTTCTCTTCTCTCCTTCGCCAGTCTTTGTCTTTCATCGGTTTTTAGAAATCCGTCAATGGCTGAAGTCAGAGAGAGGGTGGGGAGGAAGTGTTAAAAAAGTGTTAGTAAAACTAAAAAACCATCCAAAAGAATTTTAAAAAAATCCACCAAACCCAAATCACATCTACTGCATTTAACATCAACAACAAGAACGATTTTGCACTTGTACGGAGGTAGGTTAACAACCAGGATTTAGATACATCTTGAGCACAGCCTCCTACCTACTGCCGAACTCCAAGCACAGTTCCTCAGTGTAAATGCTTGACTCCTCTTCTCAGAGCAAACAAGCATCCTGTTAACGCTTGTTTTAAAACTTAAAACTCTCCTGAGAAAAACCATAAGGATGCAATTAACATGTACTCATCTTTGTTAATAATCTCATTTCAAAGATTTTGGCTGAAAAATAAAAAGGTAGTTCAGGAAAGCAGTAAAAGCGGTATGGAGCTCTTACAGTCTAATGCTATGTGGAGTCCCAGCCTTCATATTTATGGGTTAGCACAGCCCCACAACTTGCTTGCCCACAGGAACCACTAGCACCAGCTCATTTCAACAACCAGCAATTAGTGCTGGATGAGGCTATGGAAGCAGCAGCCCTCCTGCCCTCTTTACGAGGTAGGAAATGCTTTGTTTCCTCCTCGAGTTGGTATCTAAAAGCAGGTTACTTGTTTGGGAGGCAGTTGCCTAAGGATGTTTTGTACTGGGATCCAGACACCCCAGTTCTTTGCGGAGTATGAACCACTGAAAAGCACAATTTAAGAAGGCAGGCAGGCAGAAGGTGACACACAAGGTGCCATGGGGTCACCTCCCTGCGTGCCCTGGAACAAGCAGACAGACCTTAGATGGACCTTCTGCAATACCACGGGGAAGCTAACCAGCTCTAGCAACTTAAACTAGCTAGAGGATGGTATCCTTTTGAAACAGCTGACAGTGGCTCCAGTGCCCTCCTTTCTCTCTTTGTTTTCAGGATCTCCTGGGGTCTTAGCAGGGCTGCAGTGCAAACAGGCACAGTGTCTCACAGCACAGTTTACATCCTTTGCAATCATTATTTGGGCTCCCAACTGAGTTACTGAATTATAATTAAGTCCCCTTCCCTTTTGCTCTAAGAACTGCAGTTGTTAATTTTATCAGGTAAATACAAGTGGAAAAGTTACTTAGATTTACCCCAACTCTCTTCCTGAAAAGTCACACTGGGCTCCTCTCCAAGGGCATCCTGTCTATGGAAGGAAAGATTTTTGCATAGCAAGTGCCTTTCTGTAAAATGCACAGTTCTGTACGAAGGCTGAAAACCATCCTCGGTGGTCCCTGGTGGCTGGTGAAAAAAGCAGGTCTCAGCTGTCCCCCATCAGAATAACAGCTTGCTTTTTCCCCAAGCAGCACCTTCAAATACCATCTCTAATCCTCCTCTGCACAGAGAGACAGCAACTACCTGACAGCAGCCAGGCCCCCGGAAAATTGCGATTATAGCCCCCGGCTGGTTAATTACAATGAGAATTTGTGGGTCAAATCTATTTATTACTGAAGACTCATCTTATTTTCATATTAGTCTGCTTGTTTGTTCGCTTGGCTGCCATTTATTGTCAGATTTGACAACCAGGGAGGACAGAGGAGGAGGCGGCTCACTAAAGCAACCATGGCAAAGGTCTGCAACTACTTTGAAGGGGCCTGCAACAAGTAGCCAAGAAGGGGAATCCTGTTGTCAGCATAGTTTAATTACAGCTCCAACAGAAAGTTTTTCAGTGATCTGAAAGTCAAAACAGTGTGAAACCTACAATTTAGGCTAGAAGCAGCAGAGGAGGTGAAATCAAGACTGGATCAAGAGCCCAAAGAAGGAAGACTGAGCTTGGGGGCAAGTGGAGGCTGTAGAAAAGGAAAGAGGCAAGCAGAGGCAGGAGATAAGGTCTTCTACAGCAAGGGACATACTCAGATGGAGAGGTGGAACCTGGTGTATGGAAATCAGGATGGGGATAAGCTGGAGAGATCGGGAGAGGAACACAAGATAGTCCATGTCCACGGATTATGTTCACAAAATCCTGCACTGACTCTCATCACTCTCTTGCTTTCAGCAACTATCTATGAAACTCACTAGCCAAAATACGTCCCATCATGCTTGTCAATAAAATTACAGCAAACTTATCTCTACTTTGCTTCATGAATGCAACTGGCAAAAGTGGATCTAAAAGCTCTGGCCTTACTTGCAATCGCTATAGCTATCCAAAGTTGAGGTACAATTTTTCAGGCTGGATTTCTCAAGAGTTTGGATGTCGCAGCCCCACTCAGGTAATATTAAAAGAAGATCAAAGGTATAATGTCAGATACTTAAGAAATTAAGATGTATCAGAATTGAAGCAGTCTGTACAATCCTTATTTTTCTCCTTTTTACACATAATATTATGCATTTTTTCCTTTTAGTTCCCTTTGCTTATTCAGTGCATTAAGATGAATGTCCTCAAGAGATGAACCAAGTTCAAAGTGGTTAGTGCTTCTTTCTTCACTTCTTTCTGAAACTGGAAAGTAGACAGAACTAAAATCTGAAGTTTGTCTTGGAAAACAGCACTCGCCTTGCTTATGTCACAGGTGAAACATGGAATTGCTGCTTGTTACGTGTGCAACACACCAATGTACAAAAGCTGTGTGGTGGAAAATAGTACGCAATCTAGTAAGTACAGGCATCAAATGCACATGCATGTGGCAAGGGTAGCATTAAAGTAGCACAAGCATCCTCAACACTAGCATTTCTTAACTCAAGCGCTCAACTTCATGAATCAGCACGCGTGCAAAAATCAGAAATTTGCTTGCCTTCGGAAAGTAAATTTCACTTTGAAGAACAGAATAAATATTCCCTGGGTAAGAACTTGTACCTTGGGATTTTTTTTTTTTTAATTTTATTTTTTTTTTAAGGCCAATATTAGCATATTTACTACACATCTTCATATAATATACATTATAAATGTAACGGACACAGCACTCAATCTGTAGTGAGAAATCGGCTCAATGACAGGAATTCAAATTCTGTTTGGTAAAGCAGACTGCAAACAGCAAGCTAGCACAGGTAACTCCCATGAAAATAACATCTCTGTTTCATAACACGAACTGGCAGCAGAGGGCAGAACAAGGCTTGAATGAAAAAGAAAATCCCACAGCAAAGGAGCTTTCACTGAGAACTGACCTCAGGTTAATAGTCTGTATACTCAGCTTTATCCTGAGCCTTCCTCATATTTACAGCTAAGCCTCTGATCCCTCAGTTAGGAAGGCGTGTAGCAGCAAACAACATGTTTAAGAGTCAGGACGTAAACGCAGGCTGGTTGTGCCTTCTGCCAACCAAAGTAAGGAACACGAAGAGAGACACTGACAGAAAATTCTCTAATAACCCTTTATTCCCAGACTTGCAGAAGAATAAGGGAACTGCCCAAGTAACAATACCAAAATTTTTACTGTAAGGAAGAACACACACACCACCACGCACCTACCCACAAATTGCTGTTACATCTACTCCATCTCCCAGCTATCCCCAAAAGCTCTTTTTCCAAAGAGTCCCCACTCTCAAAGGCATGCATCTAACTGCTGGGCTAATCCCTTGAGGTTGGGTCTCATTTTTCAACTGAAGAGGGTCAGCTGCTCCTCTGAACTTTGTTACAACAAGCATTGCTAAAGAAAAAGACCACAACCTACTGGTTCAAATGGCAGCAGCAGGCCTGCAGCAGTAACATACCAGCTAATGCTATAGGGCTCTTCCAATACTTTAGTGTTACTTTGAACTAAATATTCACAGAAGTAAAAGCTGACATGTTAATCGCTGCTTCAACCCTTTTTGATACGCAAGGTAAACCTATTCAGACTGATGAGACAGTGCCAGAACACATCCATGCACACTCTGCTCTGCTCCACATACCGCTTGCGTAAGCCTCTTGGTGGTTGTCCCGTCCCAATGAGACACAAGGCAAGCTCTGTCTTTTGAAATCTGTATCCTGTTTCTGGTTGAGAAAACAAGTACTCAAGCAGGACAATCAGGTCACTGGAAGCTGAGAGTACATTTCAGAAGGACCAACTGACTGCTTGGACACCACCTCTCCTGAAATTTGCACCAGAGTAACTGCCAGCAGGCAGGGCCTCCATTCATTTTTTTAATTTTTTTTTTTCTACTTTGTTGTTGAATGCATACACACTTCTGTCCTCTGTAATATCCCATGGTATTTGGTTTCACAATGCATTTACATATAGCAGATATCAAAGCCCCTGATAGCAGGCATTCCAACACAGAAGGAAAGTCAGCTGGGGATCTGAGGCCAGCTCTGCTTAAGCGTTCAACATACCTAGAACTCTGGCCGTCCTACGTGACCATGTTTAACACATTTAGGCCTTCGCCCATTCTACGTGACACCATTCAACAATTTTAGACCCTTGTCACAGTTCTTTGAGACAATAAAGAACAGACTTTTCTACTTGCCACTGCTTCCCTCTGGGTACTACTGAATGAAGAAATGTTATGTTCAAGTTTTCAGTTACAGACTATACTCTGAGGGGAAAAAAGCTATAAAACTGCATGTGACTATACCTGGATGATGCTTTGTATTGCCAAAAGGCACTTTTTCTAAATTTTAATTACAGTATATTGTTGAGAGGCTTTCAGGTAGAGTCAACACACAAACAACACAAAGGCTTTGCAGGTATGTTCAGTAAGATTTAGTGGATTGTCTTCTTTTTTGATAATTGTCTTTTGAAAAGTTTTCTTTAATTAAAAAAGCTGTTTATTGTATGGCACTCAAAAATCTAAATACAAAGAATCAGAATTTTTCCAGTTTCAGCTACTTAATTTTATTTTTATGTTTGCCACGCTGGATTTCAAATATAACCAGAAAATAAAAAAGGGACAGTTTCCATTATGACTAATTAAAATACCAGAACAGCTATGCATTGTAAAAATGTTAAGTAGATGAAGTCATTAAAGGCAGACTCAGTTGCCAAATACAGTGACATTTCAAGACACCTCAGGCTAATTGTCTGAGAGGTGGCTTGGCAGATAGGACAGATCAGCTGTGAGGGGCCTGTATGCCTTGGTTAAACAGCTAGGACAAAGTGTCATTTATGACACTATGCTTTATGTTCATGATCCTCACCCTGCATTTTTAAATTATTCATTTGAATCAAGAACTGCAGCATTTATTTAAGTTTAAGGTGAAATCACTCCAAAACGCTGGCCAAATAACTTTAAAATATATATATAGGTCATTTGGTGATCACTTACAACAACAAAAATATCTTAATTACTGCATGGAGAAGAAAAACTTGCTAAAACATAAAAGGCAGATTTTTTCAGTTCTGCATGAGCCCACAGACACCTAACCAGCTCCATGGGATTGCATGCTTTATGTATGTGGGACACCGGGCTTGTTGGTACTGAATCACCATGAGTTGGCAGAAAGTAGCAGGGGTCGACTACAATGAGAGCGTAGGCTGAACAACACGCTTATCTTGCGCCAACAAGCGCGGGACCTGAACGAAGGCAAGGGATGAGCAGCTGGGTCAAGGACAAGAAACCAACTGAGTGGTGCCTGGGGTAAGGTGGAGGCCTCACAGCCCAATGTTGCTTCAGTAAAGGCAGAGAACACCCTCACGCCTCCAGATGTTACTTCAGTAAAGCCAAAGAAGACCCCCACACCTCTGCACATGATGCCTTTGTTCTCCGCTGCTCCGGCCCCCTCTTTTTTTGTTCGACAATGCAACAAGCCTTGTTAAGTGCCAGTCAGCACACGATAATTGACTTAGTCCCACCTCGCCAAGAGTACAAACCTGGCATTTAGAATCCTCTGTTTTGATGACAAAAAAACCCCACCTAACTACTAGATGGCTGACGGGCCTGGATCTCTCTCCTCTTTGGTAAGAATTGCACCTCCAACTTTGTCAGATGTTACCCAGGAAAACAATGCTAACAAAAGCACTGTAGTACAACTCAAGCTTGATTTTTTGCAGGAAGTGTATTTATCAATGGTATTATGAACTTGTTATGTCTGTCGCCTTAATATATTACCTATCTTTACAACTTCGCAAATCTGTCTCACAAAGCGAGGGGACTGTGAAACAGGCAAACGTTGACTCTAACAGGGGCTACACAAAAACAATCCTTAGTCATAAACTGTTGACCAAGTCTGGGACTAAGGGTGGATCCAGCCACCACTAAGCTCCTCTCTGAAAAGGAGTTTACAGAGCAAGCGGTCCACTCAGAACCTTGTGACTCAACGGGAAGGTCTCCTTATTCTACTTATCCTTAGACGCAAACCATTGACCCGTTCAATGGGAGGGCTTTCCTTACCCTCCCCCCCACCCTTTTAGACATAAACCGTTGACCAGTTCAAGAGGAGGGCCTCCCTCAGCCATCCATCAAACTCGTTACCCTTTTACGTGACAAAGTATAAACAGAGTGCGCAGCCCTAACGGTGACCCCGGAGACTCCAGGATCAGGCAGACACAGCAGACACATCTCAAGATCACTCCGAGAACTAATTAAGATACATTACCAGAATGTTCTACTTATGAAGACTCTGGATAAATAATAACACTAGATTAATAACTTAGTTTAATGAACAGGTCCCTACTAGACAGCCCACCACACAGTAAACACACACAAAGCAGCAGCACTATGTCAACGTGTGTTCTACACTGCCATTTCATTCATGTGCTTCTGTAATCTCTGAGACAGAGAGGAGTCCAGAAGCTTAACCAGAGCTTGCCAGAGTCTTTCTCCCACATTTAACACACGTAAACATTTATAGCTGTATTTTTCAAACTATACCACAACCATCTGGAATCTGTAGGTAGGATATTCTTCCCCTTGTAGCCTGTCCCTTTAGCTTCTTCCTGCAGATAGGTACAAAAATTGCACAAAAAGGGAGGTGAATGGTGGAGATGCAGTTGTAACTTAACCATGGTTTGGTTTGTTTTCACTTCAGTTTCTTCAGAATAAAACCGGCATCACTCATGTTTATGGAAACAGAAAGTTAAATATGTAAT